GGCTGTGGGGCAGCATGTGTCAGGGATTCTTTCATGGCCACACGGAGCAAGCATGACCTTGGATTTCATGGTCTTGTCTGCAGGACTCACCCACGGTAAACAGCAGGGAACTAAGCGGGCCAGATCTTCAGCGGGTGTAAATCGACACCGCCCCTCTGTGCCATTACCCTGACTTGCACAAGCTGAAGATCTGGCCCAGCGTGTCTACCATGGGAAGGTGAAGGGCTGAGTGGGCGCTGCTGGGATTGGGACCTGCGGCTCTAGGGCCTCTGCATGTAGAACCTGCTTATCAAGAGCTTGCTAAAAATGAAACACCCGCTCTAAAGACAGCGGAAGGAAGCCTGGATTTCCTCCAGAGGGTTCCTGTGGATGCGTGCGCCATGCATAGTGAAAGGCCGCTCTAGAGACACGGGCACTGTATGAGAAGGAGAGCAGGGTGTCTGTCCTGGGGAGTGTACAGGAGCTGCCGAGAAGCAGGGGTGGGATTAAGGAACGGGAAAGCTAAACTAAATATGAGACAATGCTCCCTACCAGAGAGACGGATCAGCTCATTGGCTTGTCTCCCAAAATGGGGCTGCCCTGTTGCTGGGACCATTTAACATGGATTGGAGAATGGATGGGATAGAGCAGTCTTGCCCTGCCCTGGGGGACGTACTAGATGTGATCAGACAGTAGGGTGACCAGATAGCAAGTGTGAAAAATCGGGTTGGGGTGGGGGGTAATAGGAGCCCATATAAAAAAAAAGCCCCAAATATCGGGACTGTCCCTATAAAATCGGGACATCTGGTCACCCTGCCAGACAGGTTGATCAGTAGCTCCTAGGATTCTGTGAGTTAACGTCCTTGCTCTCAGCTCTGGCTTCACAGGAAGCAACCTGGTTTCCTTGTCAGTTTCTTCTTCTCTTGCCCTCTTTGACCTCTTGTTTGATTTCACTGCCCTGACGCTAACAATCTGAGCCTCTTGCAAACATTCTGCTCAGATCCTTCCTGTAATTTCGAGGACTGGGGGAGACAGAAATCAGCGGGAAGCTGGAATCCTGCACTTTATATATGGTCCAAGCACAGAGCAGATGCCTCCATATCCTTTCTATACACACATGGCCTGGCCAAGGACCTCGACCTGGACATGCTTTCTGGGAGTGAGACTCTGTGTGGTATCCGGTCTCTTCTCCAGCCTCAGGCCAAACTGGAATTCAGCACCAGTGGCAATAGATTTGTGCCAGATCCTCTACTCACAATCTAGCTTACGACAGGATGATCATTGTGCTAATTCTATTGTTGCAACAGGACTCTATACATCCCAGTACATGCTCCCTCCCTCCCAGACCTAGCCCTGGAGACCTGACCTCCACACAGGAGTGACTAAGGATTTGGGAGACGGCCTCAGCTGAGGTTAAGTGCAAACCTTATTCTCGTCGTCCCCGTCCCCCCCCCCCCCCCCCCCCCCCCCCCGCCCCCTCCTCTCACATACTGTATACGCATCTCTCTCCGCTGCAGCTTCTCCCCTCTGGAAGAGCCCTCCTGCGCCTCTCACCTCAGTGACCCTTCGCCCCTTTTCATAGCTCATCTCAAAACCATGCACTCGATCCAGGTCTTTTAGTTTTCTCTCTCCTACTGTTATTTAACTCTGTCGCTGTTTTGCTGATCCTTGCACTGAGAGCTGACCGAGGGAGGGAACACGCTGACATCAACATGAAACACTATCACCGTGGTTTCCTACTTCACTATCCCACTTGGCAATTGTTCATACATTCTCACAAGCCCTTGTGGACCTAGGTAAGTGTTACCACCCCCCAACTTCCCAGCAACGGGGACGTTCAGTGATTTGCTCAAGATCACACAGCATATCACTGGCAGAAGGACCCAGGAGATCTGACTATTAATTCCCAACCCGCTCCTCATCTTCACAGTGGAGTTCCAGTGAAACAGCGAGGCACTAACTTGAGGAACAACAGTGTCATACCGGAGAAGGCATTCCCCAGAACAGCTGTTCCCTCGGTTAATTCCAGCTTCCATGCCATTCCTAAAACGGCGGCTTTTACTGCAGGTAACCGTCTGTCCTTGATTCGCAGCTCAGCCATTATCAGAGCAATGGCTCTGTGTGTGCAGATTGATGGCATTAACTCGCCCTTAGTGCACTGTCATGTTACTGGTTTCAGAGCGGTAGCCGTATTAGTCTGTATCAGCAAAAAGAACGCGGAGTCCTTGTGGCACCTTAGAGACTAACACATTTACTTGGGCATAAAGCTTATTAATTTGTTAGTCTCTAAGGTGCCACAAGGACTCCTCGTTCTTTTTGTCATGTTACTGATGCTCACAAACATGTTTAAACGCTACCATCTTCCCACGGTTCTAGTGGGGCCTTTCCTGTACATGGGGAGCCTCATTCTTTGACTCTCTCTACCTGCCCCGGGCTGCAGTGATCAGAGAATCCCTGTGTCGTGGAAAGGCCCGATTCTGCTCTCAGGCTCACTGAACCCCTTGGGTTCATTTGCCATCCTCCTGCCTCATGGCTTATCTCCCAGGCCTTGGCTTTGCCAGCCCCTGACTGAGCACCTTTTCAACTACATCCATGAAAATGCTGGCAGACTCATTATGTGCTCTTCAAAAGCCCTGGAATTAAAGCAGAGAATGGCATCACTAGTGCTTCCCTTGGAGGATCATAATGTGCTCTACAACTGTGGATGAATTGAGCCCCGCATTATGGCTGGCACGGATTATCACCTCCATTTTACAGCGGGAGAAACTCTGGCATAGGGAGGTGAAGTGACCAAGGTCACACAGTGAGTTTGTGGCAGAGTCAAAAATGGAACCTGGGGCGTCCTAACCACCAGTTCTCTGCTCTAACTCAGAAAACACTCTCTCCTTACGTACCCAAATATTATATCTCCAGCAACCTCTACAGGTTTCTCATCGTTGAAATTATAACCAAAAAAATCTACCCTACCAGCTTCTGGGGGTGGGGGGAATAAATTGATCAGGGTCAATCAAAAACATTGCTCATCCACATTTGCAGACAGCAGCCTTGTCTGTTGGCATGCCCAGGGTGTAATGTCATTTGCAGATTCATTTCTTTCAACCAATAGGATTGTAGAATGCAAATGATTTTGCTGACTCATTCTGTATCGACAGTATTCAAAGTATGGAGAAGAGGAGGATAAAGGAGTGATACGGAGGGAGGAGGAGGAGCTACCTCTCAGGCCACAATTTCACTAATGAATACTAAAAATAATACCAAATTATGCCGGTGGCAGCGTCATCTTTTGGCCCCAAAGCCCAAAGATCCATTCACCCTATGGTCAATGCCCTGCACTTCCATTCTTTTCCTAGGTGGCAGATTTTAACCCTTTCCATGCTGACTATTGCTGCAGCCAGCGCTAGCACTCTTCCCCCGCGGGAGCGTTTGGTGGCATGGAGGCGTCATGCCACATACATGTAGCCACACTGCACAAATACTTTGGCACCACACAGCTGGTCCCATGCAAAGCAGAGAAGTGGGCTTCTACTGAAGGGATTCCCTATAATGGGGCTGTTTGCTTTTACAAGATCCCCCATGAGCTACAAGGGTCTCCAGGTTTGTTTATTTTAACACCCAAGACTGGGGCGTTGCCTTCTGGAGGGGGTCACCAAGGTTCCTAGTGACTACAATAATGGGATCCAAATTCCAAAGGATCCCGGAATTCTCAGTGGTTCCCATTCTCTCGGGGTTTCCCATTAACGCCTGGCTTACCATCACTTTGTGCCGTCCAATGAGGTTCGGGGACTCGCACAGCAGCTGCACGTCCGACACAGTCACCACACATGGCTTCTCTCCTATCAGCACGGTGTAATTTAGCTTGGCGTTCCCTGCAGTCACTGGCGGGATTAGGTTCTTCCCCTGGACCGAGAGGAGCAAACCCACAAACATCTCAGCAGGGTGTAACCTGCCATTGGGTTGTCCCTGTGATGTGAGGGCCATCCCTAGACATGCCCTCCTTGGCTCATCACTTATGGCCTTCCCCAATGAGAGTAAATCCTGACCCACCCCTGGAAGATCGGGACAGCTTGGTACAGGGCTTCCTTGCGTCTTGTCTATCTGGAATTACAGGCCTACATTTGCAAAAATAGGTGTCTCGTCTGTGCCTGCACAAGCCGCTAACTGGACCCACAAAACACACTTACACCTGCAAAATGGTTGCCTGTTTTGAATGTGCAAGTGTGTCTTTTGTGTGCGCAATTATCTGTTTGCACACACATCACATACAGAGGCCCATATTGGAAAATGTAGGCCAGAAAGTGCTCGTGCTCGCTGTCTGGCTCACAGAACGTCTCAAACCACAAAGAGGTTGTTCTCGGATTTGCACAAATGGCGAGTGAGCAAGCTTTATAATTCCAAACGTGCTACGTCTGGCTGTCCTAATAACCATATTGTCACGTACTGCAGCACAAACAGAGACATGGGGCCAGATTCTCAGCTGGTGTAAATCAGTGTAGCTCCAGGAAAGTCAACAGAGCTATGCTGCGTTACACCAGCTGAGGGTCTACTCCATGTACTTCCATTAGGGCAAACTGTCAAGAAGTGAAAAGATTAGTTGTTCGAAGCTCTGTCCCTTGCGGTTAGGATATTATGGAACAACACAAACGTTCTCTCTCCATGCTTCCCTTTTCAGTGCAGTTTCTGCCGCTGCTCAATCTAATCCGCACACCAGGCTCCTACAGCACAAGACAATATCTGCTGTGGTTTGGGGTAAAGTTAAGAACGCTGTACTGTGATTGGTGGGACGTTGGCAGGAGCAGTGCTACGATTGGTGGGGTGCTGGTGGCATCTCTGTTGTGATTGGAGGGATGTTGGCAGGCCCTCTGTTAGGACTGGTGATGCTGGGACTGGTGAGATGCTGGTGAGGGCTGTGTTGGGACTGGTGGGATGTTGGCATGAGCTGTGCTGTGATTGGCTGGATATGTTCCTGGAGGGCATCATCGTTCTCTGATGCTGCTCCCTTACCCCCATCTCCTCACCTTTAGTATGATGGGAGTTCCTGGCTTCAGCTCCAGGATCCCCGAGGGGTTGAAAGCCTCAAAGACTGGGTTTGGGTAGTAGGTGAAGTTGGTTTTGTTGAGGATCAGCAGGGACTGAACATTATCCAGGATGAAACCAAACTCTTCTGGGCGCTCGGTTAGCTCGGACTGGTGATTTGGGTCCACGGGCAGTGCTGGGGCCTGGCAGGTCATCTCCGTGGCGTTCTGTACCTCGCAGATCTAGAGGGCATGAGCCAAGGGAGAGCTTTATCAGAGCAGCCCCTCCCCCAACAGACACTTTACAAGAGACTGAATCCCTTCCAATAGAACAATATCCCACCCACAGCTGGGGAGAGGAAGGTAGCTACTGGGCTGCTGCGAGGGACCGGCTGGGGCACTAGTCACTCCACCACGACATTCAGCACCTTGAGAGCACACTCAGCCGGGGCCATGGCTGGAAGGGGCATGGGGGAGCCCATCGCTCCTGCAAGTGAGTCCTCAGTTGCTCCGGCTCAGGGCTGAGGCACACTGTGAGGACAACTTGCACCTGTTCCATGGGGGGCTTTGAACTCCAAGGATGCCGGTGTCACCACTTTCCCCCCGGAATGGAAAGCTCTGCCTTTTACTGCACGCAGGTCCAACCCGAGCTCCAGATCCCCTTCTCCCTGGAAACTGTCCAAAAGCTGCACCTGCAGAAGGATCTCAGTTTTGTCAGCAGCCACAATCCCTATAATGGGCTGGTCGACTGAACCTGCCTTTCCCCCCCTGCAAAGTTTGGGGTATCCAGACTTTGGCTCCAGAGGGTGGCCTGGCGTTTAAGGCACTGCACTGGGATCCAGGAGATCTGGCATTCAGAATAGGCACTCTTATTCCAGAACAAGAGTGTCCACACCTGGGGTTAATCAGGAAGAGTTATTCTGGAATAACTCCCCCATGTAGACAAGCCCTAAGGCTACGTCTACACTACCCGCCTGAATCGGCGGGTAGAAATCGATCTCTTGGGGATCGAATTATCGCGTCTCATCCGGACGCGACAATCGATCCCCGAATCGACGCTTGTACTCCACCAGCGGAGGTAGGAGTAAGCGCCGTCGACGGGGGAGCCGTGGAGGTCGATTTGCCGCCGTCCTCACAGCGGGGTAAGTCGGCTCCGATACATCGAAGCATATCTTAAATCGACCCCCCCCCCAGTGAGGACGTAGCCTAAGTCTCTCTGTACTTCAGATCCCCACCTGTAAAATGGGTGTAATATTACTTAGGCTGGGTCTACACTACAGCGGGGGTCCGACCTAAGATACGCAACTTCAGCTACGTGAATACCGTAGCTGAAGTTGCGTATTTTAGGTCGGCTTACCTGGCGGTGAGGACGCGGGAAAGTCGACCGCTGCCGTGCTGCCGCCGACTCCGCTGCCGCCTCTTGCCGAGGTGGATTTCCGGAGTCGACGGCAGAGCGATCAGGGATCGATTTTACCGCGTCTTCACTAGACGCGGTAAGTCGATCCCCGATAGACCGATTGCTACCCGCCGGATCGGCGGGTAGTGAAGACATGCCCACTGTCCCTGCCCTGAAGAGCTAACAGTCCAAATAGGCAGGACAGACAGTCTCTCACCAAGCATATGTGTGGCACTCAGCTGAGGCCTCTCAAAGTTACTTTAGTACAAATAATCATGAACCCAAGCCTGGCTTTATGATTTTCCTTTTCAAACGTCCCTTTCACTGTTTGCTGCAATCCGCCCCTGCTCAAAGAGCGTTCGCTATTACGTCTACTTTAATACGGGGGCTGGCGTTGATTTTGCCCAGATCAATTCAGATGAGAAAAGTGATTTGGACCAAGTTAAATGCAGAGGATGCAGCCATGCAGATGAGCCACACTGGGACAGCTCTGCTCTAGCACTGAAAGACCCAAGATCAGCCTGTGCACAGGAAGTCAGGCTATGACTAGGTACCAAGAGCTCTCACCCGCTGAGTCAACCAGCAGTTCGCAAGTTTAAATCCCTCTCCAGGGGTCAACTGCCCATGACAGCTGGGCAGTCTACATGGGGCCTGATTCTGATCTAAGCATGGTGTAACTCCAGTGACGATCTGCTGGTTTTACACAGGAGTAAGTGACATTAGAACATGGCCTGTTGGCTGATGAGGGCACTTATAGCTTGAGCTAGTCACTAGGTGGCCCAGCCTCATGTTGCTCCCTGTCAGGGGGATGACGAGTGCTTGCTGAAGGGGATGAAGCACTGCAGGCAGCTAGCTCTGAATGCTGGAGAATCTATCGTCCAAGTGACACTTGGTAAATGCAACAGGATAGGAAAATACCTAGCATGACCCAGGATTGCCCCCAGAGATTATTGTAAGTGGTGGGAGGTAGTGGGAGGTGGAATCAGGCTCCAAACCTACTCCATGTCTCGGGTCCAACCGAGAATGTGCCTCACACACCCTCTGTAGGGGCCGAATGCTGGGGGGCCATAGGCACCTGGAATACTCATTGAGCCAATGGGGCTGCAGGGGCTCAGCCTCTCTCTGGGTTTGGCCCTACCTCTAAGGCTAGGAGCCATTACATGGCACCGCTGGGATAAAGGGAGGTAGCAGGACAAAAGGGGAGGAGTGTTGTCTAGTGGTTAAAGCAGGGGATGGGAAATCAGGACTCCTGAGTCCTATTCTTGGCTCTACCACGGATTCACTGGGGTAACATGAATTCCCCCTCTGGCCAATTCAGGAGCAGCATAGCCAGCCCTCTGCAGCCAGGAGACCCACCAGGACTTAATGGCCTGGTTCTGCTGTCACTTACCCTGGTGTAAATTGGGAGCAGCTTCACCAGCCAGTGGTGTTACACCAGTAAATGAGAGAAAAAATTTGTTCAGTAGCACCTGGGGTTTCAGAAGCCACAAACACAGTACAGCTAAAGTCAGTGGGAGCTGTGAGCACTCAACATCTCTCAAAAGGAGGGTCATTTGGCCTGATTTTCAGAAGGGCCAGGTAGCCCCAAACCCCAGGGATCCCATGGAAGCTGGAGGTGCCCAGCGTCTTTGAAAATGAGGGCACTAGTGCCTGTGAGGCTATTGATGATGTGTGTCCGAGCAAATCACGGGGAGAGGGGCCCCGTAGTATGAAAGAATCGATGCCAAACTCTCTGAGAAAAGCCTGGGCCAGTGTCAGCTGGTGTCCCCTGCAGCAGAGACCTTCCCTAAAAAGCCATCTCTGTGTATAGCAAGGTAAGTCAGGAGACACTAAGAAGCTGATGCTAATCTCCTAGCCAGTTACAATGACCCTTCCTAGTTCGCACCCTTTTAATTTCGCTCCAGAATCACCCAGGGATGTCTCCAGGTTTTATTTGTTATGGGTTTGTTTGGGGTATTTTTTTTTTTTTTTTGCTTGATGTTCCAACATCCGGACATGTGGTTTCCTTTGGATGAGACGTGGTTTTAGGAGAAGGACGCTCATTTCTCCCTCCCTGCCCCCTGGCTCCTTCGATCTCTGCTCCTCACAGCAACAAGCCCTGATTAAACCCTGCCCCTGTCAGTCTCCTCGCCCTGCCGTGGGGACTCCTGAGCACAGGCCAATCTCTTCTCGCTGCCGTGGCTGGCCCGAGCGGTGTCACTCTAGATTTAGCTCGACATGAGCGCTCTGGGAGCTGGCGCAGAGCCTAATCGAGAGTGGCTTGGCCTATTACACCGGCAAGGCGGAAGGTATGGGGTGGGAAAGGAGGACGCTGGCTCTTGGTTTATTGAAGGCATGTATTATTGGAAGGGACCTTGGAGCTTTCAGGGTAATTTCTGCACCAGTCCCTTCTGCTAGGCACACAGACCTTCACAGGCTAAAGGGATTGGTGGCATTTTGCAGGGGCTTGTGGGTAATAGAAAAACAATCTGTGCCTTGATAGATGTAGTTTATTGCTGTGCTGTTGTGGAGGCAGAGAAGTGGTGCCAGGGAAGCCGGGGAGTGGGTTTAGCTCTTCATCGCCACCAACCATCAGGGGAGAGGACCCACATAGCAGCAGATGAGGAATGCCACCCTGGGATTCCCTGGGACTTTGTTGGGGGAATGCATTGGTGGGTGGGCTGAGGCAGGCCTCTGTACCTGCCTTAGCCTCCCTCGCTCAGAGTCTGGGCCTGATCCCAGCAGAGGCAGAATGCCATCAGCTACTCAACCCTTCTCAAGCTGTGCTCAGCATCCAGTGGGATCAGGGCCTTGCCCAGCAGTGCCAGGGCCAGGTCATGCCCAGTAAGTGGAGTCCAGCCACTCCCCTGGGTCAGCAGCCCCTCTCTGTGACTCGCTGTGGAGAACACATCAAGGATGGCTCCAGAAGGCTGGGGACACCTGACATTTTGAGGGCAGGTGTATGGGACAGCTGGTTTCTCAAGCAGCCTCGTGACTGTCACTCTTCATGTCAGCAGAAGGGCAACACAGCTGCTCCCTGCTTCCTCTCTCAGTGAAAATGGGCCTGCCAGAGCCTCAGCCGCAGTGTGAACAGGCAGCTGGACTCTGAGGCCTCACTCAGTGCTAGCTGCCTGTTGGCAACGAGCATGCAAGGCCATGGGGCCTGGCTGAGTGAGAGTGTGGGTGTTTCACAGGGTCTGGAGCTGGTAGTAAGAACAAATCCTTTTGTTCCAAGGGTTTCTTCCAAGGGTTTCACAGAATCGTAGGACTGGAAGGACCTCAAGAGGTCATCTAGTCCAGTCCTCTGCACTCAAGGCAGGACTAAGTAACAACTACTAGACCATCCCTTGCAAGGGTTTGTCTTACCTGTTCTTAACAACCTCCAATGACGGAGATTCCACAACCTCCCTAGGCAATTTGTTCCAGTGGTTAACTACCCTGACAGGAAGTTGTTCCCAATGTCCAACCTGAACCTCCCTTGCTGTAATTTACACCAATTGCTTTTTGTCCTACCCTCAGAGGTTAACAAGAACAATTTTTCTCCCTCCTCCTTATAACCTTATATGTACTTGAAAACTGTTATCATGTCTCCCCTCAGCCTTCTCTTCTCCAGACTAAACAAACCCAGTTTTTTCAATCTTCCCTCATAGGTCATGTTTTCTAGACCTTTAATCATTTTTGTTGCTCTCCTCTGGATTTTCTCCATTTTGCCCACATCTTTCCTGAAATGTGGCACCCAGAACTGGACACAATACTCCAGCTGAGGCCTTAGCAGCACAGAGTGGAGCGGAAGAATTACTTCTCGTGTCTTGCTTACAACACTCCTGCTAATACATCCCAGACGATGTTGACTTTTTTTGCTTTAGTGTTACACTGTTGACTTATATTTAGCTTGTGGTCCACTATAGCCCCCAGATCCCTTTCCGCAGGACTCCTAGGCAGTCATCTCAAAGCACTTTGCCAACATCAATAGGGTGTTGCTAAAGTGACAGCAGGGTGTTCCCAGTCCCTGCTGCCCCAGTGTGCTCGACTCACCTTCCACCCCGTGGCATGGCAGCTAGGTGACCCACATCGTTGATATCGGAATGCAGTGTGGGGCCTGGTGTGCAATAGGCAATCGGTGACAATTCCTAGATGATGAGTGCCCGTATAACAGAAATTATCCCTGCCACTAACTGTCGCAGCAGAGACTGGGAACCACCTGGATCTGGGAGAATCAACTCTCCTCTCCCCGCTGCAGGTTGGATTTGAGGCACACTGGGCAGGCAGGCTTGCTTGGGCTGCTAACGCTCTGCCTGTTTTGTGGCTAAACAGGAGACTCCAATCTCCAGAGCTGTCCCGTAGCCCCTTTCACCAGCCCGGCCACGTTCCTTAACACGGCTCCCCTTCCCGGCGACAATACTCACATTGACGTGTTCTTTCCCACCATGCTTGGCCCGGATCTGAGGGTTCTGGATAAGGTCCAGGTGAGTTCCCCACACGGCTATGGGGGTGTTTCCACTACAGAACAGAAAGAAGGAACAACAAGAATTGCCTGTTATCAAGGCCCAGAAGTGAATGTTGCAGTGATGGGTGATCTGCGAATCCCTTGGACAGACGGGCAGAGAGGGACTCCCACACCCCTGGTCTGGGAAGTGATGCCCCGTCTAGCAGGTCCAAACATTCACACGAGCATTTCTGCTGCCACGTCACATTGCAAACCCCCGTCTGATTTGCTGTGACTCCCAGGTACTCCCCTCCCAGCTGAGCACCTGTGGCTTGGGTTCTCTCTCACTACGGGTCTTAGCTGCATCTCTCCAGGGTGCATCTTGTTCTGTTGTTTCTGTGACAGGGGACTCAAACTGCTTTGAACACTGAGGCCCCCGCCCTCCGGTGCTCTCCTTCTCAGACCTGTCGCCTGCTTTACATTCACTTACTAAACATTTATTGCAAAGTGTGTGAATGAGTTGATTGTACCCGCGTGGCCGCAGTGATCTCTGGAGATGGCAGAATCGAAGGGTCTCTCTATATAGCAGCTGGGAGGTGTCATTCCCAGTGCGCAGAGACATACCTGCACAAGCGGTGCTCGCACTAGTGCCTCGACGTTGCAGTGATACGGGCAGTGACTCGGGCTAGTTGCCTCAGTATAAACCCGCCTGAACCCTTCGCTATGTAATCAGACCAGCCACCACCTGCCAACATGGCCACACTGTTCTTTTTAGGTGCTAGCTTCAGCAGAGCTAGGGTGGGTCTGTCTACCCATCTCCCGGCTGCTGTGCAGACACGCCCGAAGAGAGAGGCTCCAACCGCAGCATTCAGTTTGAATCCATGGCTCTGGTCCATCCCAGTGGAGAGAGGAGGCAATCTGCAAAATGCCCATTTGGATCTAGGTTTGGCTCTCAAACCCATGTCCACACTGCAATCCAAGACGTGACTGCAGCCTGGGTAGACATACCAGTGGCTAGCTTTACTTGTGTGTAAGGTGGTGTTCACCCCACACCAGCCCTGAAAGCTGAGGAAAGGGCCTATTCGTGTGTTTAGGCTGGAGAAGCAACCCCTGATTGGAAGAGGAAGCTCAGCTGATCAGAGCACTAACAGGCCCCAGCCTCAGGCATGCACAGCAGCACACTTCTCTCTGGTCCCACCGCCTTCTGCCAACTCTTCTGTGGCTGATCTCAACCAGGTCCACCTCCCGCCCCTCTGACTGGCTTGGTTCTTCCTTCCACCCCTTCCCCTCTGTCCCCATCTCCACTCAGCCGCTCCATCTTCCCCCCAGGCTTTAGGTCAATCAGGATTTTCCCCAGCTGGACTCCCTGAGCATCCCGCTTGGCAGTAGCTCAGAGCACAGTCACCCTGGGCCACGGGATGGTGAACAGTGTCTCTGGTTTTAGAAGTGAATGGAGACTGTTCTCAGTGGTAGCAGATGACAGAACAAGGAGTAATGGTCTCAAGTTGCAGTGGGGGAGGTTTAGGTTGGATAGTAGGAAAAACTTTTTCACTAGGAGGGTGGTGAAGCACTGGAATGGGTTACCTAGGGAGGTGGTGGAATCTCCTTCATTAGAGGTCAGGCTTGACAAAGCCCTGGCTGGGATGATTTAGTTGGGGATTGGTCCTGCTTTGAGCAGGGGGTTGGACTAGATGACCTCCTGAGGTCCCTTCCAACCCTGATATTCTCTGATTCTCTGAGACACCGGTAGCTCTGTAAGGATTTCCAGCACTCCCTGGCCTGGCCCGCTGCGGAGAGCTCTCTGCCTGACATTAAATGGCCATCTCAATCTCTCTCTTCCTTTATTGTGCATGCTGAGAAATGGAAGCGAAGACACAATGGGATGTTGAGGTCGTGACACTGCATTAGCTGGAGAGATGATGCCCGTCTCTACAACATCTCACCTCCCAACTCCTTACTCTCCCCACCCCACCTCTCGCTTGGGGCTTGGCTGGGCACATCTCGCCTATGGCAGATGGGGACGCTGCTGACAGCTTGTGTGTCAGATAATGCTGGGGTCTGGGATTTTTCTCAAGTGCATCCCTGACTGGACGGGAGGCTCTGTAATGTCTTCTTTACTCTTCAGAGCCAGCTGATGCTAAATGTAACTCAAATCAACCCCAGACCATCTGTTTTAATGTAGCCTTGTAAAATTCTACTCACCCAGCGTGAGTCATTTTTTTTTTTTGGACGGGTAAATCAAATAAGATCCGTTTGTTTCTATTATTGCCATGGAAAATGGCAGGTGAGTGGAATTTGTGCCTGGCCTGGTACATTTTCATGATGACTTTGCAAGGCTGGTGTCATGACACTCATTCAGCCTTCAGAGATCTTAACTCAGAAGTCAGGGACAAGTTGAAGAGAGACCCATAAGTTGCTGTGATGAAGCGTATTGCACGATAAATCTCTCTCATCTGGCACCCTGCCCTCAAGCAGTGGCCAAAACCTGCTGCTTAGAAGGTGACCTTTCCCCTGCCAAGAATGCAAAACTATACTAGAAGCAAGCAGGAAAATTCTTCCCTGACCTTGGCAGTTGATCAACTTACAGCCTCAAGCATGGGGGTCAATTAAACCATTCTTGAATTTGCTCGAAGAGCCGCACATGTCACCACTGGCCAGACAATGATCCAGCCCTTTCTGAAAGCCCTGCTTTGCTGCTTGCCTCAATGACTCCCTGTGGCGGAGAGTTCCAGAGGTTAGCTCCACACTAGGAAAAGAGATGCTGAGATACAGTGCTAATGTAGGATGCTCTGTCCTGTCCCCCTTCACCGTTCTCCAAGGCTTTGACCTCAAGAAGAGGCTCAGAAGTGGAACTGAAGGCAGGACTGAGGTGCGCTGGATGCATTGTATTAGATTGCCACACTTGCTGGCACTGGGCCTGACTCAATGTCAAACTGAGCAGTGGATAGTGAGGCCAAGTGGTTGGAACAGCAGGGGTCACGCCTAGTGGTCAGGCTGGGGACCAAAGCCAGGGGTCAGAGCAGGAATCAAGAACAGGGTTGGAACAAGGCCAGGGCAGCAGCAGGCGCAGGCTGGAGCAGGAGCAGCGTGTAAGACCCTCCAAGCGGCAGGGGATACTCCGGGTGAGGCAGTGACGTTGAGCAGACTGGAGTGGCTGTTCTCAATGGGAGCTCATATCCCTGGCCTTGGGGACTCCTGGTTAGACCTGAGCCTGTGGATTGGCTGAGCCCTGGCAGATAGACGTGCAAGCTGCGGCTGAGGGATAGCTCATCAGCTCAGCGGCGCTAACCTGGCGGGGCTCAGCGAGCACTCGTCAGGTTCAGAGGTGACTCATTACACTCAAGCCACTGCTGTTCATCTCCACCGAATGAACCCTGGAGATTCCCTCCTACCCAGCCCCTTAGAACAGCGAGGGGCGGAGGGACTAACTGGACAGCGAGATGCATTCTCCATCTGTCCGTGCTACCCAGCTGGCAGCTGAACAGACAATCAGTCCGAGGGCACCACAGGTTTTAATTTCTTTCAATAGCAATGGAGCACTGGACGGTTCAAGGGAACGGGCACTGGGACAGGGAGTCTCTCCAGTCCAGAGCCTCCACACAGCTCAGCCAACGCACCTCAAGCTTCATCTGCAATACCTTCTGCTAGTCCAGTGGTTACCTAGCCGCAAGCTGTGGCCGCCAATCAGCTTGGACTGTACAATGGTTCTGTGAGGAGAACTAATGTCCTAAAGCAGAATTTACCAATGTACATTGCCAAAGAGACAAAGCAATATGTCAGCAGCCCCTCAGCAGCTCCCCCCACCCGCTCCCAGCCCCTCCCGCCCACCGGCAGCCCCGCTGATCAGCGCCTCCCCCTCCCTTCCCACACCTCCGGATCAGCTGTTTCGTCGCGTGCAGAAGGCTCGGGGGGGGGGGGAGAAGCGAGGGCACCGCAGGGGAGGGGGCGGGAAGGGGAGGAGTGGGGGCAGGGCATGTGGCAGAGCCAGGGGTTGAGCAGTGATCACCCCCTGGCACATTGGAAAGTTGGCGCCTGTAGCTCCAGCCCCGGAGTCGGTGCCTATACAAGGAGCTGCATATTAACTTCTGAAGAGCCACATGTGGCTCCGGAGCTACAGGTTGGCCGCCCCGGTCCTAAAGGCACCAGGATCAGCCCCACCAAACCTCACTCTAGGTCAGCTCTGCATCACCACTTCCAATCCAGATCTGGCTGGGAGCAACCAACCCAGGGGTGCGTGCTTGGAGGTGCATATGAATGGAAGAAGAGGACTCAGTCCAGGCCCTGGTGGATGGGGTGTGCCACCATCACAAAACTCCAGAGCTGCCACCCTGGTTGGCACCCGCCGCAGTAACTGCCAGGTCTAGATGGGCCAAGAGCAGACGCTGTTCCTGGCTCTCCATTAAGAGCAGAGAGTCCCATTTCACATCACCACTCCACTCGTGCTAACTAGCCCTCTTGTTGGCAGCTTCAGCAGAGAAACCCAGGAGCAAACAGGCCCTGCCGAGTGAACTCCCTTTTCACTTGTGGCCAGGGCATCGGCAGGGTGGAGGAAGCTGCCTGCTCTGGCACTTTCCTGTGGATAATGGAGGGATTCAGTGCCCAGCGCTGTCAATCCAGCGCCTTGCGCCAGCACTAAACTCGCTTTCACCGAGGAAGAGAGTAAAGCGCTTTCTCATTTCAGCGATAACCTGAACTCTGTGACTAACAATCCTCCAGAATGGAAAATCCAGACACTAAAGCCGCAAGCCCAATGTGGAAAGATTCAATCTGGCAAAATCGGTAAATTCCCCCACCGTAATTAAAGTCATTAATTGATTTGTGAAAACATCTTCTGGATGGGAGCTGAACCGGGGTATTTACGAGACGCGACCTAATCCCCAGATACTCCAATCACTCCAGGTTGACAGGGGAGCTGAGAGCTGTGATGGATGGATGAGAGGAGACTCATATTTCTTATTTGGTATCTTTTAAAGGAAATACTAGAGCATTTAATGACCAATTTCTCTCTTCACTGGGCCAGTCTCGCAGGCTTGTGACAGTATTTGTCTAAGGCTTTGCTTCCGTCCATACTCAGGGCCAAAGTCTCCTCTCAGCTACTCTTCTCAGTGCGACCCTGCTGGAGCAAATGGGGTTGCATCAGTGGAACTAAGGGGAAAAGCTGGGCTTGGCACAGATCAGGGCCATTAGAATGTGGACCTTGGTGGGCAGGGGCCATGTCTTTCTTTGTGTCTGTGCTTCACAATGGGGTTCTGGGGCCGCTGGGTGCTACGGCAAAACAAATATTAAAACAGTCACAACGGGGTATGGGGCAAGTCGGGACTGAGTGACCGGTGCGGTGTGGACCTCTCTGTCCTGGAGGAAACTCGCGAGGGTTCCAATGGCTGCGAGGTTTGGTTAGGATGATGGTTCAGTAATAAGGAGGCATCTCCACGCTACCTGAACCTTTTGGGTCTGCAGACGTGGGCTGGAGATCTAACGAGAGACCCCGCCAGGCCACAAATCGCCTTCCCATGGAACTCCGGCGCTTGCCATTTGGAAAGCAACTGGAGCAAGTGCAGGAAAGCAGTGGAAAGTAAAGGGCTTGTCTATGATGGGGTGACACGCACTAGGAGGGTGTGATTTCTAAAGTGCACGTTAATTGGCCTGTGTAGACACTGTTGGCATGCACCGAAGATTCCCTAGTGTGATTTAACGGAGCACAGTTCCAAACAGCGCGATGTTAAAGCACACAAGGGAACCTTTAGTGCTCACCGGCAGGGTCTGAATGGACCAATTAATGTGCAACACGTTTGTGCACTTGAGAAATCATGCCCCTGGAGAGCACATTACCCTACGGTGTAGAAAAGCCCCAAAAGGAAGTAATGGGACCCAAACTTGCTTGAACCTCATTCAGAAAGGAGCAGTTCAAGTTCCGGAGGGTTTTTATTTTGTCTGCCAAACCCAGAGAGGATCACGAAATTCGCCACTGAGATCCTCTGGGAGATACTCAGCATAGGTCTAGCCAGCCACAGGGGAAAGTGGAAGAGTCTGCAACAGAAGAGAATCCAGTCCTTTTCCCGTACCACTTATGGGGAAATCCTGGAGTTGGGAAGCAAGCATGGAACTTGGGGGGTGAGCGGTTGGCATAGAAGTGGAGGGTGAAACTCTCCAGTCCTCAGTACCGGGGCAAAAATCTCCAACCTCAGACACGAGACTGCCTTGTAATTAAAACAATTGCCACGGTATTCCCAAGACATGCATTCGGCAAAGGCTCCTGTGTGGATTTTGCCTCATTAAGCAGGGAAGTTGTGTCCTGCTAGAGGAGATGCAGAAGGCTTCTTAGGGTATGTCTACACCCAGCCGCTAGTTCGGCGGCTGGGAATCGAAGTTCTGGGTTCGACTTATCGCGTCTTGTCTGGACGCGATAAGTCGAACCAGGAAGTGCTCGCCGTCGACTGCGGTACTCCAGCTAGACGAGAGGAGTACCGCGGAGTCGACGGGGGAGCCTGCCTGCCGCGTGTGGACCGAGGTAAGATCGAACTAAGGTACTTCGAACTTCAGCTACGTTATTCACGTAGCTGAAGTTGCGTACCTTAGTTCGATTTGGGGGGTTAGTGTAGACCAAGCCTTAGACACAAGCACTGCACAAAGTCCCCTTGTGGCTCCTGGAAGGAACACAGCTACCATCCGAAGTCACCATCGAACTCTCCCTAGTCAATGGAAGATCTTCCATATGCATGGCGCATCTGCACACACAGACACAACACACAACGTACTTTGGGAGCCACCCCGCTGAAGAGCACTATATACAGCATAAGGCATCGTCATCCGGGCTTAGCCCTGTGAGCACCCTCCGCTCCCATTAGGCTCTTTGGCCCTGATTCGGCAAAGCACATGCTTAGGCCCCGTTGAAGTCAAGGTCACATCACCTAAGTCCCACTGGAAAGTGCATGGCTGAACTGGGCTCTTAATCAGCAGGAGAAGCCCACACGCCTGGATCCAGCTGTGCAACAGAGAACAACCAGGAGTCAGGGACAGAGGAAATGGTGGCTGTGTTAGTACCTGATGATGCTCCACTCCGGCTCAATCCTCAGGATGGTGGGGTCCTCCATGTACTCAAACTGCAACTCCTGATGTATCTTGGCCTTGTCCACCCTCACGGACACCTTCACCTTATCAAAGCCGTCGTCCGAGGCTGTGGTGTTACAGACAATGTGCTTCGTGGACCTCCTGTGAGCGGAACGAAGCAAAAATCAACCAGGCATAAACGGTGTGAGCAGGACAATGTCATCATTAACGGGCTCTGCCACCAACCCCGCTGTCCAGTCCCCATTCAGTGCTTTGTAACCAGCCCATCCCTAGCCTGGGGGGAACTCCCTGCTGTGGATTTTGTGGGAACAGAATAACGTGTATCTGAATACAAATTAGCATCTACATTCACACTAGCTAGGATCAAACTGCAAGGGCTCTCAGTGCTCAGGCCTCAGGGCATAAACAGAACCCGAGCTGGGGTCCAAGAGACGTTTCCGTCCAGGGACAGCCCTGATGAGTGCTTGATTTCTTCCTTCAAAGCCTCAGCAGTGACCACTGTCATAAGAAAGGCCGCGGGTTGATTCTGCATCAGCTTTCCCATCTGTAATATGGGATGACACCACCCACTTCACAGGGGGACCGGTGGGCTCAGCTAACTAATGTTCACAGTGCATTTGGGGATCTCTGGATGGTATTTTACTGTAATTAGAGAGGAGTCAGAACCAAAACCCCAGTTTGTGGCAAGGTTCAAACCCCGATTCAGGTCTGAATTTTGCAGCTTGCCTCTCCCTCTGTAATGGGTGGAGCAAAGACCCAAGGTCCTACTGCCTTTGATTTGTAGGAATCAGTGATCTGTGACTCAGTCTCATCACTAATTACAATCACAGGAGGCTCAAACTGAGCTCGTTGTTACCTGCATGCTTCACGTCTGCTCCCTTTCTATCCTCCAGCCTCCCTTCAGCTGCCCTCACATACAGTGTCTGCTCCTTGAACACTAACTGTTCACTCTTCTTTGATTTAGTTGGGGATTGGTCCTGCTTTGAGCGGGGGGTTGGACTAGATGACCTCCTGAGGTCCCTTCCAACCCTAATCTTCTATGGTTCTATGATTCTTTAAGCAGCGCCGATGCAGCTGCAGTTCACATGTGAGCTCCTAAATCCCAGGCTGTTACCACATGACCATACATTACAGACGTCAGGTCACCACACGTCCGTGAATGACTCATAGGGTTTGAAAAATGCAATAGAGACAGCCCAGGAGACTGAAGTCTTGTAACCCCAGAACAGATGCAGCGTGGGCCATGAGAGCTGTGCAATTTCCCCCTCCATCACCTTGCCAATGTGCCTCAACCCTGCAATGGGCAAGCCTCCTTGGAGGTGGGAGAGGCATTCAGTCTCACGCCCTGCTTAGTGTTTGGCCTCTCTGGGAACCACTGGTTGCTAATTGCTACATTAGTGTTGATCGTGGGGATGGTAGGTTTTGTGTTGTAGATGCCACTAAGACCTGGACTTGGACTCCTTTTCATGTGGATTAATGAACACCCAGTAGAGGACACTGACTCTCGGACACCACCGTCCTGGAGTGGAAGTAAACTGCTGATCTAGAGCTGAAAAGTTCTGTGCCCTGGTTTCCAGCTGAGCCATCCATTTCACCATCTTGCAAGATTATTTTTAGAGATGAGAGAGTTGTTTTAATACTTAGAATCAATTGTTTTTTTTTCCCTGATAAGGCAGGGATGTGGGATGGAATCTTTTGCACTGTACTCCCACACTGACTAGCAGAGCACGGGTCCCGTGGAGAGCGGTAATGAAATTTAACCAGGGACCATGGAAAATGTACATAAAATACTAATCAAAACAGTGAAATGAATCCTGTCTTCCCACCCAGGGACACGCACAATAAGGATCCTCTAATGGACTGCAGGAGGTAGGTCTCTATCTGCAGAACAGAACTGACACACAACAAGAGATGTGCTTGTGCGAATAGAACAGAGAAACTATAATGGGTCAGGCTACTGTGATTTATATCTGCTTCATACCTATACTAATACGGTCCTCAGGGTGCTTAGGGAAGGTCTAGCCAGTCTTTGGTTTCATGCTCCCTCCCTTTTGAGTTACACCTTTCGTTGTGATTTTTACTTTTAATATAAACTGTGCCTGAATGATTTTGGTACTCATAGATACAAGGGGGAGGGGGTGACAGTACTGTCCTGTCCAGCGGACACGGTCACTCCACTTCCCCTAACAGCTCTGCCCATGCGGCTCAGACGTGACCAGCCACACTCCCAGTTATTCCAGTCTGAAGACTCCAAACGTCTCAGCCAGTGTACCTCAACCCTCATCTGCAATACCCCCTGCTAGTCCAGTTGTCACCTCTCCATGAGCTGGGACCCCCTGTATGGTGATTAGGTGAGGAGAACTAATATCCTATAGGCACCGGGATGAGACCCAATGAGCTCCCTTTCATATGGGGAAGGTGCTGGAGCACGGTAACCACGTTCCACATGCTCAGCCCAGCACCAAGGACACCAGACAAACAGAGGGGGCTATTTCATAGCCTGGTGCCCCAACAGTCCCATCAGAAAATGGCGCCAGCCACATCCCTCCATTCGCGGCTCCCTGCCCCCGGCACGAGCCGCAGGGAAGGATTACGTGCGCACCTGTAAAAGAGACAGGGCTGCCGGCCAAATGTCACCACAACGTTGCTGCCAGCATTCAGGTTGGTGCCTGTAATGGTCACCTGTGTGCCCCCCGACACTGGACCCCGCTTTGGCTTCAGGTCAGAGAGAGTCAGAGTCTGTGGAGAGAAAGGGTCACATTGAGAATGCATCGGGGGTATGTTTGCCGGTCGGTACCAGTAGGAATGGGGTGTCTTTAGTATTTGCCTTATTCTATTGGGCTGGTAAGCAACAGAGGCCATGAGCCTTGGCGACCATGATCCTATTGGTTTATCTTGTCTTGTCTCTTACCTTTTCCCCCCTGAAACTGGGCCAGATGTTCCAGCTGCTCATAAACGTTCAATGATTTCAAAAGGGAGTCGCAGGCATGGAGCGACCACAGCCAAGGGCCCCAGGTCTCCCTGGCCCTTCAGAGAAAGCTCAGAAGTAACCTTGCTCTGATACAGCAGCGCGCCAGGAAGCCAAGCCATTCAGATCCTGCACTGGCTGAATGGATCGGAAGTGGCACTGCAGGTGTGTTATACTGACCGCACGAAGAAGTCCGACAGAGTGTAACAGAGACAAAAACATTACTCAAAAACCCTGTTGATGTTAAGAGCAAATGAGCTCCTTTCTATAGGTTTTCGAAGCCAAGGTATAGACTGTGACAGAGGATAATAACCCTGCTATGGAATTCTATAGGGGGGCTGAACATTCTGTAGAAAGATGACCACTCTCTAGTCAATTACGTAGGACTTTCCCATAAGGGAAAAAGGAAAGGAAGGGTGGCCTTGTGCACTGGGGCTCTGAAGATCTGGGTTCAACACGTGGCTCTGTCACAGACTTGCTGTGTGACCCCTGAGTAAGTCACTGGATCTTTCGGTGCCTCAGTTACTCATGCGTTAAATGAGGGTAATAATACTGCCTGTCTTATCTATTTAGATGGTAAGATCTTTGGGGCAGGAACTGTCTGGGACTGGTATATCGACAATGCCTGGCACAACAAAGCATTGATCTGTACGTGCTACCCTAACACTACTACTAAGAGAAGGTATCATTTCCAAATCATCATTTCATTTAGTTCATGCTCACTTTTTTTTTTTTTTTTTGAGACGCTCTTCAAAATATGCCCAGATGCTTGACAAATGTATCTGAAAAGATTCCTTAACGGCCAAGAGAAAATGAACTCCCCTCACCCCTCCAATCAAGATACAATAATCATACTCCGAAGGCACAGATTACACTGATACCAAAACACAGAGAGGAGGCGTCCATTTTCAGGGAGAAATTTGAAGTTACAGTTTATTCTTTCATTAGCATTTTAATAGAAAAACTTTCCACTCACTCTCAAGTGAAAAGCTACTATCTGCATTTAAATGAAGATTTTTTTTTTCTTTTTAAGAACGATAGCACAAAAGCTTGAAGCTCTCCCCAATTCCTCTGAACGAGCAGGTACAATACATGAACATATTCCTGAGCTTCGGAGACCATTGATAAAATTGTATAAAACCACCCAACACGCGTACTGGTTCCCTCTTTCAGCCCCCCCATCACCGGCTAATCATGTTGCAAACACACTGAAACACAACAGAAATCTTTCTGCTCCGCTTTCATTCCAAAGGAAGTTAGCACTTAGAAAAGGGGACGAACTGACAGCAGCCCAGGGGTCTGAAGTTTCTCTACACAGCAGGGTAAGCTCCCTGCATTGACACCTTGCTCTCATGGGATCATCTTTGGTGAGATGCAGGTGCAATCACCATGTCCCACTGATTGATTCCTTAGCTTCTCACCCAAGACTACCAACCAGGGTGCAAATTAGAGCTGACTGTCAAGGTCCTGGCTTTGATGCAGTTTACTGTCTAGTAGGATTTGGACTGAGAATCACCAGCTCATTCCACATAAGCCACTGAACAGCCATTGGATGTTGGCTACTTTCAATCACTAACAATCCCCGTGAAATTTGCCCCAGTGGTCCTAAAGGTAAGGTGCCACAAGTACTCCTGTTCTTTTTCCAATCTCCTGAGGCATCTTTCTCCTCCTCTGTTGAGTTTTCTATGAAACCTATCCAAATGACTTCACCAGCCTGCATTCAATGGTCCTCAGCAAAATGGAATCCCAACCAAGATGCCCTGCTGCAGAGGGTCACTGAGTTTTGGGAGGTATTATCAGAGGATTTGTGGCTCAGGGTATTTGCACTAAAAATCAGACTCCAGACTCTTTACCATTTCCTTGTTGGCAAAATGCAACAGAAAATGCAAGGAGGGTTAGTGGAGCTGTAACAGGCTGAATGGATGGAGATGGAGCTGTCCAATCCATCTTCCACAAACTGTGTGTCCTTCCTTGGTGCTTTCATCCTCTCTTCCCTGTATTTCCTTCTTGTGAACCCGCTTCCCCACCCTGCCATTGGCGCAATCTGTACTTACTGATGTGGCCACCCAGCGTGTCCTACCCCAGAGCCTCCCTTCTCTGCCTGCCACCACCATGCCTGACCTGGGGCCATCCTTCTCCCAACCCTTCCTGCTCCCGTGGCCGCTTCCCCCCCTTGGTCACTGAGCATCGCTCTGTCCTTGCAGCTGCCGTCCCTGAGTCTAGTATGTCAAATCCCCCTGAAGCCTTGCAAGGCATGTTGTGATGTGTAGGTAACGTTCACCATCTCCCTGGGACTGGGGCTAAGCAGAGCCAGGAATACGAGTTGCCGACGAGGGAGCGATGAACATGGGAGAAGGCATCAGATGGGTGGGCTAGAGAGCAGCTGTTTTCCCTGTCTAGCACAACGGTATGGAGGTATTCAGCAAAGAAAACCCCACTGACGTTAGACTCAGGCACGGATGGAGTAACTGGCAGCCAAGAAGGCAACAGCCAGCGGAAGAAGCTGTTACAAACGGACAAAGGTAACAAGCTCAAGGGTAATGTCTTGGAAAGAGCCCTTCTGTCTGCCTGATGGGAACTCTCCGTCTAGGCACTTCTCTGTCCCCATCACCGTAGGTAGCTTCTGGATAGCACTGGGAGAGCTAGAGGTTAGCAAAACATCCCTAGCAGAATGTGAAAACCGCAGCTATTGACATTTCATTACCAATGCCCGTTCCAGTGAAAAATGATGCTCAGGTGCATTCAAATCCCTTTGAGGTGAAGCCAGCTCTCTTTGGGAATGAAGACAGCAGCTCATTGAAAACACATCGAGATCTGCTGGCTTCATGTATGCACGTTCACTGACACAAAAAGGGCCGAGTAAGCCCAGCACACCCTAGCAAGGGGCCGTAGCAGGTCTCTTACCCAAGCGGTGCATGATGGAAGCCAGGGGAGACGGAGTGAGGGGGAGTTGACTGCACACAGACAGACAAAGGCACAGCGGGATTGATTCCCTTCTCACATCACTTTTATACCAGTGTCACTCCACTGACTTCAGTGGCATTATTCCTAATTTACACTGATGTAACTGAGAGCAGAGTCAGGCCCAGAGACTCCCACACCTTAGCGCAGACTGATGCCCTGGGCTGAAAGTACAAATCCACTTGCTTGCTGCTACCCACCTTAAAACAGCAGTGTAGCTGCCGTGTCCAGGTGGCCACTCGAATACAAAGTTCACTCCAGATAAAACCCAAAGAACAGCCTTTTGTTGTGGGGACAGCGGGAATCCTGCACATCCCCTTCTTCTGAGGCTCTTCATTGCAGAAATTAGGGATGGCAAAAGACCCGTGTCATGCTTGAACATACGGGCCCAGGACAACGGATAGAGGCACGATCAGAGCTGAGATTAGAACTCAGGAGTGTCTGGCTCCCAGCCCTGGGCTCTGACCACATCTCTCCCAGCCCCACACATCAGGCGCAGGATGTTCCTCTTGGAACATGTGGCCATCCCCAGGACTGCAGCCAGGGTGGGGTGACTGTCCATGGGGCGGTGGTACTAAGGATCCGTGTGTATCCCATACCAGCGGTGGCTCTCACCTGGGGGGCGGTATCAGGGTGAGCTCTATTGCCTTCCCCCACCCCCTTCAGCAGCTCCCGTTAGTTTCCCAGCTCCTTCTCCAGGGCTGGCTCCAGGCTGCTGCTGTGATACTCAGGACTACCCTTTGAAAGGCTCATTAGCACTTAAGTTGCAGTGGGGCTCCTCCGGGAGCAGCAGGCATGACCCACCCTGGCATCTACCATGCGGTTAACGATGGCATCTGCAGGCGTGGGTGGCCCTGAGAGCCAGGGTGGTGACGCACTCCCTGATGGGATTTGCAGGGTGCCCATTGGATAGGCCGAGAGTTTGCTCCAAGCTGCTCCCTTCAGCTGCTCGCTGTCTCACGGCACTGTTAGCATGGCGAAGAGCCTTTCCGTCTTTGCACTGCTTTCTTGCCATTCAATTCTGGTGCTGTCTGGCTATTCCTTAGCCTCTGTGGTCCCAGGCTTGGGACACAGGATGGCCTCTCAGACCCAGAAGAACCAAGTGTGCTCCCTCCGCTTGGCCCAGGAGATCTGGGCCAGCTCTTCATGACCTACCCATCACCCCTCAGGCCCAGCAGAGCCAGGTGTGCGTCCCCCCCTTGGCCAAGGAGAGTCAGACCAGCTCTTCCCCCATCGCCCCTGAGGTCCAACAGAGCCAGGTGTGCGTCCCCCCTTGGCTCAGGAGATTTGGGCAAGTTCTTCCCCTGTCACCCCTCAGGCCCAGCTGAGCTAGACCACATCCCTACACACTGCCCCTCAGGCCCAGGAGAGGTGGGCCAGCTCTTCCCCTCCCCCAACACCCCTCAGGCCCAGGGCTAATCACTAGTTCTCCTAAGGATTTGGTGGTAGGTGGGAGGAAGGTCTCACTGCATCAACATAGTCTGAATACCAAGGTTCTTGTGTTTTAAGCCAGGCCCATCCATCTATTCTCTCCCCGTCACCATCATCTCCAAGTGCTTGCTATGGTGCCTGGAACAGGAACAAGAGGGAACCATGATGAGATGGAGAATGTTTGAGATGGGCTAGAAAAGCTCCTGAGGATGGCAGTTGCCTGGATCACACGCGGAGTTCCCTGCAGGCAACAATCCTAGCCCATTCCCTATTGGTTCCCCAGTACAGTCTCCATGGTTGCTCCATGGGGTTTCCTCAGTTTCCTTTGGGAGACTGTTCTATAGTCCAGTGTATCCCACCATTCAGATTTCTGGTTAATCAGCCTAAACTGTCCTCCAGATCACAACACTGCTTTCCCCAGTGCACCCGGAAGGCACCAGGCACCACTTGCTACAGCTGTTGCATCCTATAGGAACACCAGCCAATGGCATGTAGATTTCTAGCGGGAAGGAATGGCCATGCAGGCTGCATATGGGCCCTGCTGCTGGGGTGGAGGGGAAGGGGGAAGAAGGAGCATAGAAGAAGGTGAGAGAAAATGACGGACAGACTCCATTCCTATTCAAGCTCAATGGAAAGACGTTAACTGATCTAAATGGCAGTTGGATGGGGCCTTAGTTCCTTCTGATCCCAGGGGATGCTCTGTTATGGGGCTTACCATAAAGTAGTACAGCTGGGAGGACCTGGCCATGAACTCGGGCTTACACTCGGCCACACAGATCTCCACGAATCCGGCGTGCTGGCTGGGTTTGGCCTCTCCCATCTCGCACACTATCCTGCATGGAAAGCATAGAGGGGAGGGAAAGGGGTTCGGGTCAGTTCACGCTGGTACAACAGACCTGTCTCTGCAGAGCCCGCAGCCCTGGGGACAGACCCTGCTCACTCCTTGCCAGCGCTGGACCCAAAGGAACCCCTGGGGAAAGCTGTTCGCTGATCAGGTATGTCTCTGGACCATTTGGCTAGATCCTCAGCAGGTGTAAATCAGCAAAGCTCCACCGAAAGCCATAGAACTAGGATAATTTACACCCGCTGAGGATCTGGCCAGTTAGTCTCTCCCCTCTCCTCTTACCAATCCATTTGCTAGTCCAGCCCAGCAGTAGCACTCACCTTTGGGTTGGGCTGTGGGTTCCAATCCCACATCAGCTCTTGGGCTCCCACTCATTGCTGGCCACTGCAGTGCAAACTCAGTTCTCAGTGCTTCTGTCCTGAAGATGGGACCTAAACCAGCTCTCTTCTGCCCATCGCTGGTGGCTGTCAACCAAGGTGGGGCAGAGATCCCAGGAGTAGGGGACAATCCGCATGCCCTTACTCAACAAAACCGGGGGGCGTGGGAGCTCCTGCTGGGAGCATGAACAGTGAAGACCACAACAGACTCACTGCCACGCCATAGGCTAAGGCAGTGCTTTGGGAATGACTTTGTGATAGCTGGAGAAGGAGAGGAGCTACGCATTACCCAACCCTCCTCTTCCTGGGCTGTTTGTGTGGGGTTTGTCTGCACGAAGAACACATTCAATTTCTGGCTTCCTGGGGGCTCTGACTCCTCCCGTGGAGCTGGGGGGGGGGCAGCAGAGGCTATTACTGAGCACATTGTTTCACAATCCAGTACATGTCCAACTTACTGCTCTGCCGGGATGTATCCTTCCACCAGTGGTTTGCACTCCACTCCAGCCACTTTGACATGAGATGCAATGTCCCGGAACTCCAGGCCCAGATTCTCCCCCCGGATTGTCACTTTGGTTCCTCCTTCCCGAGGGCCCGTCACCGGGATGATCTGAAGAAAAGAGGCAAGAGCAAACAGATAGACACACTGGCATATCAAAGGCCACCAAGGCAGGAGTTGTATCAGCATCTCAGACTATCGCAGGCTCACGTCACCATGAATGGCTCCCTCACAAATACATCTGCGTTGTTGCGTCTCGCTTCTGGTCCCAAACACACAGTTTCCAAAATTCCACCCCATGGGATACATCCCGTTGCCTCTCCTACGTGAGTAACGCTGCACCAGGCCAGCTCTGCATGCGGCCTATCAAGGGATACCTGGGAACAAGTCTATCTACTTGTGGGAGGGTGGGACTTTTGCACTGAGATTAAGCTCCAGGTTTTGTAAATGTCCATCAGCCGTAAAACTTCTTCAGTGGAAAGCTGTGGGGGAGGAGAGGGAGCAGGGGGAGGAGAGGAATCCAAGACAGAAAGGTCCAACCAATCTCTCCTACATACTCAGGGCCTGATCCAAGGCCCATTGAAGTCAGGACATGGACTCCCATTGAAAGACTTCAAGGAGCTTTGGATCGGCCTAAATGGTTTGCCATATGAGATGATGAAGGAAAGGTGCTTCTCATGATGGTTCCAAAGGCCTTTGCTGCCCATTCAGATGATGCCCTGGGTGCCATCTGCCAGCACTGGCATGGATCACGCCACAGTGAAATGATGGGGAGTGGGAATTCCCTCTTGGATGTTCTCACCTGTTTGCTATTAGCACTGCCAGCTGGGAAGCCATGCTGGCAGCTAGATTCTTGCCTTGCAGTTTTCCAGGCAAAGATATCCTAGATGCTGGCAGGAGCTGGGAGAACCTGGCTGCTTTCTGCTGCTTTCCAATGCTGAGTTTGAAACACCCCCCACAAACTGCACTGTCAAGGCCCCACCTGCCATTACCGTGGGCACCAGAGTGATGATGGACCCCATGGGAGAGGATCAAGGACAGCAAAGGGGTATGGTATTGGGGTTTGCAACCCATCTCCTACACTACAGCTATAGGACTGCTCCGCTGACTCTCCTGTATCTGTGCCACCAAACCAGTTTGTACCAGCATGCAAAGAACAGAGACTGTATATAAGAGGGGAGATGGTGAGTTATATTCCCTAGGTCATGTATACATAGATAGCTGGCAACAGTGGGTATGTAGCTGAATTATAGCCCCAAAGGGTGCCAATCCGTAACAGCTCATGACCCAGATGCTACAGCTGCTAGCTAACCACATACAGGCCGCACACGGACTAGAACTGACACTCTTCTGCTGCAAAAGCCCACATCTCTACTCCGTGCAGCCCTTAGGCTTTAGAGCGTAAGTGGGGGAGACACTGGCAAACCCCGGAGCAGATCTGACTGTACTCTATCCAGCAGGGGGCAGCTGTCCTTGATCCGTTTAAGTTTCAGAAAGCTCGATTTTGCAGAAGCCCCCGTAACAGGCCCAGCCTGGAGACGGCACAGTGAGCACTGGTGTAAAGGAGTAACCTGCTGCAGCCTGCTCTTTGCAATGAAACAAAGAGTGTTTCCAGTGGTGATGAAGGGCCCCGCCGTATCATCCCCACCAAACTTGGCAGCTCCAAATCACCAAAGTGAGACTGATCATTCGTTTTGTCCACTGGTGTTTCTTTGCGAGCTTCACACTGGAGCCAGTTTGAGCTAATCCCCTAAATCCAAAAAAACCCTGCTCCCCGGCTGACCGCAATTTCTACACCAGGCCAAGCAAAAAAAGCCCACATTCCAATGCCCCTGAAGTTGGAATCTGAGATTCAAATCCCAGCTCTGTGCGTCACTCCCACCTCTGACACCTAGTAAGATGCTTAATTCCTGTGGGACAGTGCCTTGAACACAATGTTCTCAGAAACGGCTGAGGAGATTTTCCTCAGCCTGGCCAAAGATTTCCCCTTTGGGTGAAGATGCTGTGGTGCTAGGAGCTACGGAAAAGCAATTAGAGAGAGAGAGAGAGAGAGAAGAATTTTTCAGAAAGCGAGGAGTTTGTTTAAAGAGTAGAGCTAGCAGAAAACAGAATTTTCTGTCCAGCAGGAAACTCCAACATTTTGAAATTTGTTTTGTCCTGTATTGCGACAAAAAGTCAAAATCTTGAAATGTTTCCCAGAGTGGAAACCTTCCATAACTGTTGTTCTTCGCGATGTTTTGCATGTGTCCATTTATCTAGGTGCCTAAGCGCCCCAAGCACAGTTGCCGGAACTTTTTTCCCTCAGCGGCACCCGTTGAGGCGGCTTGAGCGCCCTCTGCTGCCACAGGCCGTTAGTGCCAGTATAAAGTGTCCAACCGACCCCACAGCCCCTTCAGTTCCTTCTTTCCGGGAAAACTCCGACGTAGAGGGGGCAGGAGGGTGGGTTGTGGAATGGACATGTGCAGCACATCTTGAAGAACAACAGTTACGGAAGGTCAGTAACCGTTTTTTCTTCTTCGCGTGATTGCAAATGGGCATAACACTCTAGGTGACGCCCAAGCAGTTGACTAGGCGGAAGGATCGGAGTTAATGAACACACAGACTGCAGCGGAGCTCAACAGTACAGCTCAACCAAAATTGGCATCATCTCTGGAATGCTGAGGGATGGCGTAATGGGAGGAGAACATGTGCACTGATGACCAGGTTGCTGCTTTACAAATATCCTGAATCGTTCAGTACCAGGGTTGGTACCGGAGTCCGGACTGGGTGCTGCCTGATGGGACAGTGGTGCCCGTCTTTCCAAGGCCACTGAATAGGAGTACCTGGAATATGCCCTGGAAACTGGGGGAAACCCCCATGGGTTCCAAAATGGCCACTGGACCAGGGTAGGTCCCCAGTGACCTCCTGACCAACCACTCAATGTTATTCCTATGCCCAGGTCCATGGAAGGGTGGAAATGCCTGGAGGAGTAGTGAGAGCAGCTCCTAGGATGGGAGGACTAGGACCTGGTCTCCCACTCGGAAGAGGACGAGTCTCTGTCCAGTGACCACGGGAGTGCCATTCCCACCAGTGCCGGAGATCGATGCCATAGTGGAGAGGTCCGCTCCGTGGCAAGCATAGCTGGTTTCCCTTTTGACAGTATCAAAGGGTGTGGTACCGAATGTTGAAAGGACCCAGAAGGTTCACTCCTCTGCACTGGTACTGATAACACCGACTCCTTTCTGCCGGTGAGACCGGTACCGACAGCGAGAGAAGGTCCCTGGCAGCATTGGTGCTGCACGCTGCTGCAAATAGAGAAGGCTCTTCTGGGACCGAACTTAGTGGTGTCAACTTCTGTGGTATCAAGGCCGAGGAGCGCTTTGGCTTAGATCACACTCTACTCTGATCCCCATGCCTGGCTGTCTTCAGTGCCGGGGATCATCCCCTTTTGGCTGGCCCTTTCTTATGCCTTTTTCTAGGCATTGGGAATAGTGATCGGTGCTGGGACTCCGGTCTGGTAGGAGGAGCACTCCTTCCCGACGTCAAGGCACTTGGTGCTGAGTCTGACTGGCCTGGCTCAGATCGGGGTCTCAGTCGCACTTCCAGGGCTCATCCCTCACATCACTCCTGTGCTCATTAACACTAGAGATGGGCCGGAAACAAAAGCTCAGATCCCAACATCCCAGAAGCTTGGGGAGCTTGGATCTGGGTGCAAACTTTGCCACGTTGGGCCCCTCTGGAATCAAACGGTAGGATTTTCAAAAGCACTCCGCGTGGATCTAACTCTGCTCCCAATCATGTCAGTGGGAGATTTACCAGCTGACTTCAGTGAAAGCAAGGTGAGGCCAACACAGCACTTTAGAAAAGCCCATTCACACTTGTGTAACTTTGGCCACTTAAAGATGTAGGCCTGGCTTGCCATGAGTAATTAAACATGGGGGAGGCCTCATTTCTTAGAAGACCGGATTAAGGAGGCTACCAGATCAGCAAGCTGAAAATGGAGTATTTGTGCTAAACATAAGCTAAAAGACAGAATGCCTGAGCAAGCTAAGAGAAGAGGGGAGACACCCCGGGAACCAATTACTAAGAGCAAGCTAACAACGGGCAAGAGAAGTCAGGGGTGTAAAGATGAAGTAAAGAGTAAAGTCGAACATGGACAGCGCATGGACAGAGCACGCTGTGTAAGGATTAGTTCCTGCAAAGTAACCAAGCCAATCCCAAAACACGGGATGCAATGTAAAGTGAATGTAATGTGATGTGTAAAGGTATATAAAGGAAGGGGGCTGCTGTGTAACTTTGGATGTGTGGCATGCCCTGTACCCAGCCCCTACGCTTGAGCCTGATCAACTCAAGTGTAGTGTGATTGTATGGCAATAAAGAAAACTCAGTGACGAATTCTGAGTCAAGCTGAGCTCTTGGGAACTGAGTGGATAAGGTCTCGGAGACAACTGAGTGGAGAAGAACTGAGAAGCCACCTCAACATACTCCAGAGTGGTTAAGGTCTCAGAGGCTACCCCAACAAAAGGCCTGATCCAAAACCCACTGAAATTGATAGAAAGATTCCCCATGACTTCAGTGGGCTTTGGATCAGGCTGCCCAGGTATTCGCTCAGCTCCTGCGGGGCAGAGTTCTAACCCGCAGACCCCCCCACTCACACGCAGAGGAGAGCGTGTTATTGCTTGAGTCTAGATTCAAAGAAAAGAGCGAAGAACTGGCCGCACGTTTCCATCCTAGGTTCAAACAAATGGGACAAGGACTGTCTGTTTCAGTCTGGGGAGCAGAGGGAGGGTGACTGAAAACTGCCAAGAAGCCTGGGCGCCGCCATAAATACATCCGGCCAGGAGACCCCGTGTCACAATTTACACCTGCTGCTAACGACAGCCTAATGCTACAGCTCCCACTTGTCATTCTTAAAGAGCAATTTTATAGTCCTCTAATTTCATTGACTGGCAATATAAATGCAGGAGCCAGTAAATAACCGGGGAGCTTTTGTGTTGTTGTGTGCGTGTGTTTTTAATTTTCATCCGCTCTACTCCTCGTGCATATTATCTTGGCTCCCCGCCAGAACGAGAATGCTCTCACCAACTGCTCCAGACATACCATTAGCTGCAATATATATCCAGCCGCTTGAGATTACTTCCATGCTAATGGCTCAGAAAAAGACTTTCCAAGAGCTACTTATGAGCATGCCAGGCAATCAGAATATTTCATGAGCGAATCGAGCGATGATCTGGAGGAGCTGTGGGGCCGTCGTGGCCTGGAGGAAATGCCATCGGAGACAGCAACGCGCCTCCCTGCTGCATCTGAAGGATGGCGCATGGATGCTTTGCCGCCTGTTGCACAAGCACAACAGGCGCAGGGAGGAAGCCTGGTGCAAAAACAGGGGGTGGATTCTCAGAATTGTCAACTGCAAGATATGGGCTTGATGGAGGGACTGGCGGGTGGAGTTCTCTGGTCTAGGTTATGCAATAAGTCAGAGTAAAGGATCATAATAGTCCCGTACAGCCTTAAAATCTCTGGATCTAGGAGAAAGTTCTGAACCCTTGGTGGGATTTGGAAAAAATGACTTTGGAAATAGTTTTCAACTTTCCCCCCACTTTAAGTTTCAAGTGTTCCGGGTGAAAGTTTTCAGAAGGAGCCACTAATGCTGGGTGGCCAGCTTATACCTATCTCATAGAGCTGGAAGGAACCCCAAAAGGTCATCAAGTCCAGCCCCCTGCCTTCACTAGCAGGGCCAAGTACTGATTTTTGCCCCAGATCCCTAAGTGGCCCCCCCTCAACGACTGAGCTCACAACCCTGGGTTTAGCAGGCCAATGCTCAAACCACTGAGCTATCCCTCCCCCTTGAGATGCATTGGCCTGGTGTTCAGAGCTGGCTGAAGACAATAGAAGCTATGAGTGCCAGGACCAAGGTACCCGGAAATGCAAACACCCAGACAGAATCCCAGGGGTGCTTTGGAGAAGGCTGGGCAGTTTGTTTGGGATGGACGAGGATGTGCCATACACAGAGAGAAGCTCCGCTCACGGAAGTTAGGACCCCAGTGGAACTAACTTCTAAGGATCAGGATCAGGCTTTGTTCTCGGGAGACTTCCAGCCCTAGACCACACATTCAGACAGACTTTGGCTACAGAGTCTGTACCTCTGGATTCTGAACAGAGCTGGCAGAGCACTGGGAGATTTGCTTATCACCAGCTGAGATCCCTGGACCCTGAGAAAAGAAACCCGCGGGCAAACCCTACCGTTTTTTATTTGCAAATAACGCATTAGCCATGGCGAGGACTGGCTCACCCCAGTCCTGTTTCATCCCAAGAGGCCAGATTGACTACTTTGTCCCACTTTGACCCAGACATAGGATCTTTGTCCTCCAGGGGCTGTCCTTTGTCCTCCCTCGACCCCGCAGAAACTGCTGCCCGCACCCCATCCCCGCATCCTGAACCCCAAGAAGAATGTTCATGTAAGTGTCCTTTGGAAGATGGAGACGGTGACTAGTCTGGGGGAGGGGCAGGGTCTTCTCCTCAATGGACTGGGAACTCCCCCTTCTTGTGTTTTGTGCCACCTAGAAGATGATATGGGACTGCATATTCAAGGATCAGTTCACCTTCTACCGCCACCCAGCCATGTCTGGGATGGAAGACACAGCAGCACCACACCAGGGTTTATTTTTAACACTGGATTGCTGTAAACAGCTGGGCAGGCACTGAGCACCAAGCATGCCACTGGGTCACAGGCGCTTTTATTTTTCCTGGTGGGTGCTCCACCCTCGCTCTGCCCGAGGCCCCGCCCCTCCTCTGCTCTTTCCCCTGAGGCCCCACCCTCGCTCTGCTTCTCCCGCCCCTGTTCTGCCCCTTCTGCCGATGCCCTGCCCTCGCTCTGCTTCTCCCGCCCCTGTTCTGCCCCTTCTACCGATGCCCTGCCCTCGCTCTGCTTCTCCCACCCCTGTTCTTCCCCCTCCCCCGAGGCCCCCTGCCGGTCCATCGCTCTCCGCCAGCCACCAAACAGCTGATCAGCGGGGCCCCGGGGGAACAACTGTGACGGGTGGGTGCTGAGCACCCACTTTTTTTTTTCCGTGGGTGCTTGAGCCCCACAGCACCCAGGGAGTTGGCGCCTATGCACTGGATTCTCAGTGGGGCAGTCGTGTTATTTCATCAGGTCCTGACTCCCAAAGGTGCTGTTTCTAATCTGTCTCTTTCCCACTCAGACCTCTCCATCTCTCTAGTCATAACCCTCCATATGCACTTCTGGACGAGTTACTCCAGATCTTACATCCCTAGCACCAGCAGGAAGGAGAGGAATCTGTCTATCTACCTAGGGAATTATATGGTCCCCATCATTAGTGTTGAGATCTGTCTTAACTACCTGGTGACTACGATGGCACTCATCACCACAGTATCTGAGCACCTCCCAAGAGACAACAACCAAAACCACACGAGACCGGAGGCCTCATTTTCCTCTCTAGTTCCCCACTTTGTCTCCCCCTGCATTGCCCTCTCTAGTTGTCTTCTCTCTCCTCCCATCTCTCCTACTGCCCCTCTCACTTTCTTTCTCCCTTCACCTCTTTCTCCTTGAACAACGCAGATGATAGGAAACCTCACAGGAAAGCACCCCATTGGGGGTTCCCCCTGTTTCACTGCAGAGGCATTCCTCCTGACAGCAGCCTTGTTCTCCCTTTGCCAATGACTGACACACCTCCGAGTTCTCTTGTTTTGACCAGACCTGTGTACTCTGGGAGAGTTTTTTTTCCATTTGCTTCCTCTGAAACATCAGGGATGGTGGCAGCTGGAGATGGGACTTTGGATGGGGTGGGCCAGGGCTCTGAGGTGGCACCGAGCACGCTCTCTTGCTTGGCTGGGTTGGTTCTTGATCACATGCTCAGGATCACCACATGTGGGATCGGGAGGGAATTTTCCCACAGAGCGGATTGGCAGTGAGCTTGAGGATTTTTCCCCTTCCCCTGCAGCATGTGAGTGCGGGTCACTTCCCAGGATTATCGGGTATATCTCACTTAAACATTTCCCTGCCATTGCAGGTCCTTCCAATGCTCTGCCTATGACAGAGAACAGTCTAGTCTCCTGTGGGCCGTGACACTTCAGTCTCATTTCAGTTGTCGGGGTTTGTGTGCGGGTGCTGGGTGGTGGTGGTGGCCTGTGGCATACAGGAGGTCAGGCAGGATAAGCTGGTGGTCATAGAAGCATAGAATCGTAGGGCTGGGAGGGACCTCGAGAGATCTTCTAGTCCAGTCCCCTGCACTCATGGCAGGACTAAGTATTATCTAGATTGTCTAACCTGCTCTTAAAAATCTCCAGCGATGGAGATCCCATCCATCTGGCCTTAAACTACACAATTCTGTAATTATCCCGCTCATGTGAAGGCTTGAATGCTGGAAGGCCCGTGTTCCCCAGGGCCATGGTGCCTCTGAGGGGGCTTCCCACCCATTAACAATCAAGTGATGTAAATGGATGTCATTCTGTTGAAGTCAATGGAGTCCTGCCAGTTTCCACCAGGTGGGCCTCAGATCTCAGCATCATCGAGGCAGTGGCTCTGTCTATGCTGCTGGTGTCAAGAAGCATTAGAGGCAGCCTGCACTCTCACTTTACTTCACACCCACAAAGTGCTCCGGAGACTGTGGAGTTGGCAGGATGCCTGGGATCAGGGCTGGGATTCAGCAGCCAGCTCCAGGTGGGGGGCGGGCGGGGGGGGCTGTGTCATCCCAGCTGGGCTGCTGTCATGGAAGGCACCAGGGGCTCCTCCGTGAGACATGTTGAGTCTGACCTCCCATCGCAAGAGGCAGTGGGGGCTCTGCTTGAACTGACAGAGCTTAGCCCTGGCGCAGTTCCAACTCTGAGCTAGAGACAAAGCAGAGAAATCAACCAGCACAAGAGAGATGAGCTCTTGAAGCTGGTGACCTGACACGAACGAGAGTGCGGAGAACAACTTACGTCGGTGATCCGGGGATTGGTGCATTTGCCCTTGGTCCCGGACAGTTCCAGCCACTGGTTCTCCTGGATGGGGCAGTGGTGCTTCAGCGTGCACTGGTTCTGTCCCTCGCACCAGCCGCACTCAAAGTCTGGGTCGGCCTTCAGGCACAGGCCGCAGCTGTCCCGCATGGCCCCACACTTGTACAGGTGCACTGTGGGGACAGCGAAAGAGAGAGATCCTGAGGGGGGTACGCACCATGGAGGGAGGGGGAGTCTGGATGGAGGGCTGAGAGGCGTAACTAGGAGCAATGGATGGGAAATGAACATAGGGAAACACAGGCCAAATAGAAGTTATTCTATATCCAATAACATTAGATGGAGGGAGAGTCTCCCAAGGGGAATAAAGAATGGAAGCCCAGTTGCTACAGTCCTAGGATGGGCAAAGAGCAGGAATCTCACAACATTTTAGTTGCATCAGAGCCAGGAGGAAGAATGCTCTAGTGGTCAAGGCACTGGCTGGGGAATCAGGAGATAAGGGCTCAGTTCCCACCTCTGCCACAGACTCCCCGTGGACCTTTGGCAAGTCACTTAGTCTGTCTCAGCCTTGAGTCTCCATCTGTAAAATGGGGATAATAATCCACCTTCTATCCCACTTTTCATCTATCTTGTCTATTTGGATTGTGCCCCTTTGGGGGCAGGGGCTGTCTCTATGTGCATTCTCGGGCAATGGGGATCTTCGTTGGGGCCTCCAGGTGCTATCATAGTACAAATAAATAATAAAGAATGATAATTAATAACAACAGAGGCAGAATTTCTGGGCATTGGTTTGAATCCAGAATTGAAAATGAGCATTTCCCCTTCTTCCGCCACCTCAGGAAATGTGGGAGTTGAGGGACTAACTTTGGTCCCCCTCTAATACAAATGCCGATTAAACTCATCTTTGATTTTCGGTATAATAATATGCTATTATGAGGATGTGAAAGCATTTTCCATATTGCAACTAACTAGCCTTGATAACTAAAGCTACACAAAGAACTGATTTTTTGGTTCACTGGCAATTCGGGGGGAAAATATTAAAAAATGGTTTTGTGTCAATCCCAAAAGGCATCTCCAACTTGATCTGCAAGAATCCCTCACTAACCCCAGACCTGGGTCCATTCTCAGCAGAGACTGCCCATGGAATGGAGTAGTAGGGTGGTTTGGTGACGGGCCTCAGATCTCAGCATAATCTAGGCAGGGCTCTGTCTGTGCCCATCTGGGACTTGGCTGGGCCAATCAAACCCCACGGTCATTGGTGACTTCGGCCAAAATTCTGGACTCCCATCTCCAGAGAGGAAAGGCCAGTGTTTAACAACCACATTGCATTACCAAGTGCACTGGCCTAATGGAGTTTGTAGTGGGCCCCTCCGGGGTGAGATCTGCTCTCGTTCTCGGAGTCACAGTCAGTCTGTCTGTCTGTTAGACTTCACCCAGTGAGTCCCTAGGCTATGCTAAATGTGCTGAGTCGAGTCTCGTGGAAACCAGATAATCCAGCGATGCTGAGCAGAGAGCGTCCTCGCAGGGTGGTATTATTTGTACAGCACCTAGCACATGCTGAGCATGGCATAGGCAGGTCCTTGCCACTCAGAGCTTGTAGTCTCCATGTGGAACAGTCTGTGGCGAGCCCTTCTGCTCTCTGCAGACGGCAGCAGGGTCTCAGGCTCACAGCATGCTGTGGCAGGGGAAGTGCTATTAGAACAGCTGATTAGAAGGGGTGGGTTTTTCCCACTGTGAAAATTATACTGTTAACTCGGCCATTCATGTGCCACCGACGGAAAACCCCTTTGACTCCCTCCACACAGTCAATAGCCATTCCCGCCCATTACACTCCATGCCACTGGCTTTCAAACGACAGCAATTCAAGAGAAGGGACAGGGTGGGTTAGGGGATCAGTAACAGGCTTCGGGGCCTTTTGCCTCTAGCCTGAGGATTCAAACCCAGTCTAGGTCGGTGGTGACCAACAATGGTGACTATGTGATAACTGCTCTGGGGCCACTAGGCTAGAGGTCACAGTCCAAGGGATAGTGGACAGCTATGGACACCACAGATGGCCTTCCCTCCTAGCAGCCTCATCAGAGAGGTCCTGGATGGAGTGGACAATGGACTCCCTTCTCATCCCTAGCGAGGAAGGACTGAGGTACAGAGACGGGAGCAGGCTGGGGAAAGCTTGCCCTGCCCCTGTCCTAGGGATGTACAGAGGTCGTCACTCACCAGGGACTCTCAATGATTAACGGAGCACCCGGACCCTTTGCTATTTCCTCCCTTGTGCATTGACCCTGACTCCCGCAGAGCAAGCCAGGCAGCCCTGCGGCTGCATGGGAAGAGGCTGCTCTGCCTGCTTGGAGCCTGATGAGAGCAGTGCTGATGTGCTCGGCCACCAAGCTGCCAGTGGAGAGGAGGGCCCTGGCACATTGTCCGAACAAGCCGATCAGCAGCTTAGAAGAACTTGTCACCTGTCACTAACTGATGATCAGCTGCCGAGTCCCTGACAAAGTGCAGGCAGGGAAACAGCTGGACAGGGGATCCAGCGGAGGGGCAGAGACCATGGAGGAGGGTGCAGGGAGAAGAAGAGGGAACAGGGGCGTATCCTATGGGGAGGAAGACGTGTTGCCCTCCTGTCGCGCTCCAATCCCCACTCCCACAGTGCAGCATGGCAGGTTCTGGAGAGAATCACATCCAAAAACCCCCCAGCCAGAGGGAGGGCCTCTAGACGCCGTAGGGAAAGTAAAGTGGGAAGATCCAGAGCTGAGGAGGAAGGAAGTAGGACAGAGGAGAAGCGAGTGAGGAGAGAAGCAGGGGGACAGGAAAGGGGAAGGGAGGGGGAAAGGAAAACCTCCAAGGGAAGCCATGGAAGGCGAGAGAGGATCTGAGAAGAGAGGGAGCCCAGGGCTACTGGGTAACTGAGGGCAAGGGGCAGGAGGGAAGGAGAGGCTGGGGAAGAAGTGGAAAATCTAGCTGCAGTGAAACTCTGGACTAATATGCTTGTCTCTGGGATGTGGCTGAATGGGTGATAGCTCCCCAGCGAGAGTCAGATCAGCCCCTGGCCATCTGCTGCAATTAACTGGAGCCAGGCTCTCTGGCCAGGAGTGGGCCTCAGTCCTTTTCCATTATCACTTCACTTCATTCAACCTTTCCTCACTGGCACGCTGCCCCCTCCCTCCCTGTTCATTACCACATCGCATCTGAACCGAGACCAGAGACGAGCTGCGGGTGCATTAACTTGAAGAGCCTTATTGAAAGGGAGGTGAAGGGGAGAGAAGGAGGGGGGGGGGGGGAGATAGGGAGGGACACAAGAGGAGACAGGGAGAGGGGAAGAGGAAACAGAGAAGGTGGTGAAGAGCATTGGAGGGAGAGCGGGGAGGGGAGTCCCACTTCTCAGGTGCTCGGAGAAAAAACAGAGCACAGAAATTAGTAATTTGCGGAGTGCACAGAACAACCATGAGGTAGATTGCGCAGATAAACGGTGGCTGCTTTGTTAAGTGTGTGGAGTGATGTGGTCTGTTGCTAAGGTTACCGCTTCCAAGGACAAGTTGAAATAATTCTTTACCTTTGTTCTGCGCTGGGTTGTCAATGTTGAAATTCCCATTCCACACGACTGTCAGCTCCACCGGCAGGCTGTTAATCTCCATCCCTTCATATGAATACTAAAAACAGGAGAGAAAAACAAAACATCAGGCCCAGCGCGGGGGGCAGCCCCCACCATGAGCCCCAGACACGGGAAATGGCACCCTCTCCACACGCCACTGACTGTAGAGACTCCCACTGCTGAGCTCTCAGAGGGATGGTGACCAGCCATTCTCAGTGCAGGGAACTTCTCTCTCTCTCAATGTCTGATGGCCCTGTGGTGCTAGCAGTTAAGGGAACACCCTAGGAGTTAGGTGCATCTCTTAGGTGTGGCTTCCTGATTTTGTATGTATCTCTGAGGTGTGCTTTCCAGGTGTTGGGTTTATCACTGAGGTGTACCTTGTAGCTGTTGGGTGTATTTGCTGTTGAGTGCATCTCTGACGTGTACCTTCAAGAGATTGGGTGTGCTTTCTTGTTGTTTCATATATCTTTGGGGTGTCCCGTCCAGTTATTGGATGTATCTCTGTGGCATTGGGTGTATCTCTGAGGCGTTGGGTATATCTTTGAGATGTTGGGTATATCTCTATGGCTTTGGGTGTATCTCTGAGGCATTGCGTGTAACTCTGCCACATTGGGTGTATCTCTGAGGTGCATCTGCATGGGGCTTGGTGCTGAAATCGGCATAATCCCACAAAAATTAACCGTATATCAGCTAGAGAAGACTTCTTCCCTTGCACCATCACAATCATTAGAATAGATTCAGATAATTATAGGCAGATCAGAAAGACCAGCCCAACAACCAAGCACTTGTTTTACTGTATTTTACAGAACTGCCCGCTGTGCCACATCACTGGCATCTTACGTTTGCATGGCATCTTCCACCTCAAAGAGACAGAAAATGTTTTACAAGCTGGGTGCAAAATGCAGCTACCTCTGGGGTGGAAGGTGGCAGCTGTTTAACAGTGCAGAGTAACACTACACAGCAGATCAGGATAGGATGTGAAGAATGCTGTACTGAGTTGATACTGGAAGGGGGATTTTAAGCAGACTACAGTTACTAGGCCTGGAATTCTGCTAGGCCACAAAGGCTAACATCCCTACTCTTGAGACAAGGCTCACAGGATTTTTAATGGACACAAGTGGTGAGAATATGGGTTTCCTATCTCAGTTAAAAGACCACACCTCAATGCCCCTGGTCCACATGCCTGCATGATTGCTGCCCCGTTTATTCAGAAGGAAAACCACTCGTGACCGAGTCACCAAGGCCACAGTGCATGGCACCGTCTGCTTCCCCACGGGGCTCCTCTCCCATCCCCAGACTGCAGCAGCCCACCTGGAGCAAGGCAATGCGTGCAGAGAGCATGGTGTCCGTTCTTTACTTGTTAATTAAAGTTAAACTCAAACTTTGGCTGGGGGTGCCTTGAAACTTGTAAGCAAACCCAAAGTAACGGCTTGGTCGCAGGGCTGTGGGATAGGAGTAAGACGCTCCGCTCCTGACCCAGCACTCCCCTGGGAAAAAGCAGGCAAGGCGTCTTAACTGGCCTGCTGGCTCCTGATTGGTTATTGTCCCTTCCTAGCCCTTCTAGGCCCTGAAGGGCTAAATTTTGTGGTACCCAGGCCTGAGTCGGTTTTTCCAGGCAGAGGCGTGTCAGGGCACTGATGACTCTAGAGATCCCGTCACATGGACCCACTTCCAATTAGCTGCTGAGAACTAAGATTACAGCCCAGGGCACATAGCCCAGATCCTCACATATCTAGGGGCCTAACTCCCATTGATTACTTGTGGCTGTTCTTGAATCTCTGTGGTGCTGGTCCCTTGGCCACCCCCCTTTGGGTCCATACTGCACTACTTTGTTGCTCGCCCTGTTAAGGACTAGCCTGATGCTTTTGAGGGAGGCCTGTGAAGCAGAACCTGATGGTCAAACTGGGTGGAGCAGCACCTGCCATTAGTATGATGGTTCCAGAGCCTACTCTTAAGAGGAGGGCAAGCTACTTTCAGGGATGAGAAAAGGGATTAAGAGCTGATCTGAACTCAGTTGGGAACCTTTCCTGAGGTTTGAGTCACATTTGCTCCTCTCTCCCCTCAACCCGTTATTTTATGCTGCTTCTTGCACTTCCTGCGAGACAGGGAGCAGAACCACTGACAACCCACGAAGAGCGGTGACGGATCCTGGGGCGCTTATTCCGGTTTTGCTTGGGCCAAACTCCCACTTGACGTCAATGGGAGTTTGTCTAGGTACAGACTGAACACAAAGTGAGTAAGGCCCCAGGACGGGGGGGGAGGGATAGCTCAGTGGTTTGAGCATTGGCCTGCTAAACCCAAGGTTGTGAGATCAATCCTTGATAGGGCCACTTAGGGATCTGGGACAAAATCAGTACTTGGTCCTGCTAGTGAAGGTGAGGGGCTGGACTCAATGACCTTTCAAGGTCCCTTCCAGTTCTAGGAGATGGGATATCTCCATTAATTTAATTTATTTGGCCCAGGATATTTCTGGCCCACTCTAAAGCAGAGGAAAGGTGTGGAGACCCCACAAGATCACCCCCTCGCATGAGATTCCCAGCCTGATTTCCGGACCAAATGGCTGTGCGGAAGCCAAGGCTCTGAACCTTTTGCAGGTGGCTTTACCCAGGACTATGAACCGTCATGTAATTGCAGGGTAAAAGGTATGATGATTTCTGCCCATTAGAGCAGAGTTAGTGCTAGTTACATGGTAATTTCTTTCTGAGCAAGCTAAACGCAATTAGCCTGTAATCTGCAGGAACCTGTGATTACAATTTAGTTGCAAAGTATTTATGGGTAAGAGCTGTGTGGTTACCATGGAGGTAAAGCGCGCTCCCAGGATAGCAATGCCCTGTACGGTATAGCTGCACCCGCCAATCTGCTCCATATTAGCATTTTTATGACACTTCTCCGTGTCACTGGGAACAAACGGTGGGATAATGCAAAACAGCCTCTCGTCCAAACATTGATTTTCCACAGTGCACCCTTTCACCACAGCAAGGCCAGACCAGCCTGAGAGACAGGACTGCTGGACAGGGACACTGAGGAATGGATTCTCTGCACTTCTGTAGCATCTGCAGATCTCAAAGCACTTTACAAACACTAGTTATTTAAAGCTGGCAACACTCTGTTGGATAGGTAGCTGCTAACGTCCCCATTTTACAGGGGAAACTGAGGCACGGAGCGGTCACGTGATTTGCCCAGGGTCACACCGTGAGTAAGTACGAGCTGCGAAGAGAACTCGAGAGTCCTGGTGCCTCGGTCTGCGCTCTAACCACTAGACCACACTGGCCAGGCAAAGAGAAGCCGCACGGCAGCACACACCGTGCTTCTCTCCGTCAGCCCACTTTGAGAGACCCAGGAGATTTTGATAAGGGTCTGAACTCCGGAGCACTTTCCCAAACCTTTCAAAGTCCCCATCATCGCTAACTGAACCCATGGATTAAATGGCAGAGGAAGGCCCTAAGTGCTAAAACAACCTAGTGGTTAAAGCACACAGGTGAGAGCCGAGAAACCTGGGTTCTTCACATCCTGGCTCTGCTGCTGACTTGCTGTGGGATCTTGGGCAAGTCACTTTGGTTCTCTGGGCCTCAAATTTCCCCACCTGTGAGATGGTGATAAAAATACTTCCCTGCCTCTTCGCACCATTGTAGGAATGAGTTAAAGCCAGGAAAGCCGTGGGAGATGGCACGACGGGATTCCTATCAGAAAAGATCACAGGGAAAGCCAATGAATGTATCATCTCCCCAGGTGAACTGGCTCCTTCTCATGGCAGGTCTTTAATCTGCATACCCCCCCACTCTGCTTGAATCAATGCTTTCTGCCCACATCGCTGCACGGGGAGATGCCCAGCCAGCTTCCAAAAGGAGCCTTCATCTTTACGAGACAGTGAAATGTGTCAATTTGTTCTGACTACACCCTGAGCCTGCTGCTCTGTCTGAGGCTGCCTTTGCAGACAATTGCCGGATGACAGAAAAGGACTCGCACCAGACGAATGAAAGCCAGTCGGAGGGAGGGGAGGCTTATTCCTCAAGCCGCGATGGCTGAAAGCGTATTGTTCATTGCGCAGGATGGTTCTAGGGAGGCAGAACTGTCCTCTGCTGCTCCCTCACGCCAATGAGATGCCAGCTGGAGCTTCGTCAGCTGCTGCAGCTCCAGTGTGAAAGGCACACCTCGGTCAGGGCCAGTCACTATGAATGATCAGAAGCGTTCCTGGGCGTTATAGCCCCAGGGGGCACTTTTAAACACGGGTATAGTCACATGAGTGACTAACAATATGCACCTTCTGCCTCAACAGATCATCTCCCTGTGCGTTCTGGGAGTTAGCACTGCAGAGCCAGCACAGTAGGGAACAACCAGCTGATCCCATCCTGCCTCGCCTGGAGCCTTCCATCCACTGAGGATGTCAGTGCCAGCAGCAAGAACCCAGCTGGCTTTTTAGATCTTGGGCTGTTTGCGGCACTGGAAGTTGCGGTGGGGATGACATTTTTAACTTGTTAACTCAGCAGAGCTGCTCTGCAACTGGAATCTGCTCAGAGGGAATAAACAATGGGATTCACAGATCTCTCTTGGCAACACTCCTTCGACTCTGCCAGTCTGCACCCGCGGAGGATCTGAGACCAAGGTTGCTCATCTTACTGTCACTGTTCTGGGTTTGAAGTCTGTTCTCAAGGGGGTAGATACCTTTTGGGACAAAGCAATTCACAGAGCAAAACAAAAACCACTACACGCTTGGTCCTGTTTTCCTGGTTTGACTCGGAGTCACAACCTCATTGAGGCCCCAGCCCAAAGCTCACTGGGAGTCTGTCTATTGGCCCTAAGAACATGCATTGAATATGTTGGCGGGTGGAGAGAAGGGCCTCTCAGTCTCTGGGATCTGTGGTGGAGAGGCAAGGTTCCTGTGGTCTGGAAAACTCAGAGCATCAGGGTTTGTGTCTGTATACTGCTTAATGCAGCTTTCCCCAGGGTATTACACAGGGTCTATCCTTCCCTGGCTATGCACCGGTGACTCCCATTGACATTCACGCCTGCTGCTGCACACACGGAGCAGAACTGACCCCAAAGGGACTGTCCTCTGCT